TTTCAAACCAAGTGAAAATCTTTACAAAAACAACATCTCAAAAGGGTCATCGAAGCCCAGTTACTTTTGGTGAGTCCCCTTTTCATCGAAAACTGAAGAGGGCACTTTGAGTGATGAGTCAACCAAAACGCTCCAGTAAAACCAAACAACAGCGGATCAGCGCTTTTAGGAAACATTTCATCCATAATTTGATTCTGGTTTGACCTTTGCTTCACAGCTTAGTCGAGTTTTTGAGGAGACCTCGTGAAACGAAACCCATCTGTACCACCTTCTCCGCCACAACGGTTAATTGGGTACAATCCCTGACGCTTTCCCAGCCTAGCAACGGTCTCTTCGGTGAACTGTGTCATCTTTAGACAACCCTCGGCGCCAAAGAAAGCAATACTTACGGATGATGTCATTGAAGAGTCCTGGAATATGCCATGTTAGCGGCCAGAAACCGGAAGGAGATATACCACAATGGGGTTCGCGCTATTTTAGGTCGCCTTAACGACGCAACCGAGTAGAGGAAACGGGGTCAAATCAACCCTGCAGGGGGGTGGGCAACTGCGGTAAAACCAAAGGCCACACGATCTTAGTCATCATATCTACAATCCATCAATCTAGTTGCCATGTCCTCTGGTAGAGGAGTCAAGAAAAAGCGTACTATGGTCAGACCTACACGTTTTTCCCATTCTCGCGTCCGGTTTGTGACCGGTTGCAGTTTCGAGATTATTTTTTTCTCAGGGTCCTTCAGAAAAAGCCCATTTTAGGCTGGCAAAACACACACACAAACACACACACACATGGCCCGCTCTGCTTAAGAACTCGCTCCAACTGTGGGCTCTAAACGGACCAGGCATTGATGATCCCATCGGACGTCGGTCCAGGCCACACAGTCCGACACTTTTGAGACATTTGATGGAGGGGCGTGTCTCGACGATAGCGAGTCGTTTGTAGGAAAAGCAGCATTGCCGGTTGGCTCGAGTCCGCGATACCGGTCCTGTCGGTCGACCCGGTGGGTGGTAATTTTACTTTCCGTTTAAAAGTAACTTTTCAAACTTCCGGCAATCTCGAAAAACTACTTGTAAACAAAGATAAATAATGCAATTCATTACTACGGCAAGTACAACTTTAATTTATCGACATTCCCATTACAGAATGTGATATGGGAAATTGTCTGGCCTTCCTTGAAATTCACACTTGCCCTGTGACCAGGTAGCGCTCGTAGCCATTTGGCTTGTAGTTCCATGGTTCGAGTCCCGCTGTGGGCGTTGATAAGTTCTGGGCCAGGTCGAAACTGCAATCCACTCCAGCCTGGGTGCGAATACCTTTTAGGAGAGCAGGGCATGTGAAATTCACTGAGAACGTCATGTCTGCTCATATCGTTGTGGGAAACTTCAAATAATATTCCTCCCCTTGTCACCACACACGAAATAGGATGAATGCAACTCAACGAAACATGAGATTTGTTGAAGGCATAAAAGACTACTTTTTGTGCTTTTACATTCACGCTTCTGAGTTGTAGCCTTCGCTTCATGCTCCCATCGAATGTAACCAGTGTTGCCGGTTGTCATGGAGCATACTTGTTTGCCTCATTGACAATTCATCGTGTGATTTTGGAGTGGCTGTGTAGCGGAGTTTTGAAATAAGTACTTTTTTGACTGATCGCTTCGACAGGTACTCGTCAAGAAATTGAGCAACACTGTCCAACGGGGGACTCAGCTTATTCTGAATGCCATGTTACCCACGAACCGGGTTCGAATCCCGCTAGGCGAGAAGAGAAAGCCTATTGAGAGTTAATGGCATTCTACGGGCAACACATAACATTGTGGGAAAAGCTCAACTTACGCGACACAATGTGATTGAAAATAAATGAAGCAAAAGGGGATTTCGAAGAATTTGTCCATGATACATTGTGCCATGACTTTCTATTTGGAAGGAAAAAGCGGTTGGAAGGAGTTCGTGATGTGGCCTCATCAGAAACCGAGGGAGGATTGCCGCATAAGGAAGACTGCTGAATCGCGCCAAGAAGTTCTCGTCTCACCGTCCTGCTTTCGTCTGTACCAGCCTGACAACAACATCCCATACTTTACGAAATAGAGCAAAAATAGACTAAACCAAGAGCAGGAGGTGGCCGGCTGCAGCGCTAGTCGCTGTAATGTTACGTTTTTATTGGGCAGTAGAGTGGTTACATGTCGCAGCTAAACGTGCACAACCTGGGCTCGAGTCCCGTTTGCTGTTGCTGGAGTGGAATGGAGATTCGCAAGTTGGCCGCACCGAAAGCTGTAGGCGCGAGTGGCGTGATTGTCGATTGGTGCGAAACCCACTTTTGCCACATGCACACAAATCCGCGCCACTTTGCGTCCGGACGCGGAGTGGGCTCGAGCCAAGGGACTCGCGGCTCGACTCGTCGACATTCTCCTTCCACGCCAGTTCTGCTTCCGCCGTCCGGCCGGTTCGATTCTGCACCGCGACGCTCCTTGCCAACACGCGACTTGGACCCCAGACACCCGTTCCGAGTCGTACTCGGAAAGAGGTACAAAAGCCGCGGTTTTTTATTGCATCTCCTTTCCCCACCAATCCGTCCTTTTGGCACGATGAAACCGCGACTCGAGACAACCCTACACAGTTTAGGCCATCTTCAGACCGGCTCAAATCGAGATGACGTTACCTGCGACGTGGTCACACTCTCTTTTACTCCTCTCCGCCATGGGCGGTCCATCTCCAAACCGCCCTTCTGTCTCATCCATCCGCACACACAGAGCGAATGATAACTAGACATCTAGCACACACACACACACACACACACACGTGTGAGGACACTCGTACTTGCCAACACACAAGCAAACGCACAAATGCATAGCCAGGGTCGCAGAGTAGATGGTTCCTTTGCAGAAGCACCGGCAGAGAGACGCAGGCATGATACTCTAACCGAGACTGGAGTCACATGCTGAGTGCAGACGCTGGTTGCGTTGGCATCTACAGCAGAAATCGATTCGTGTTCGTCAAAAGTCGACGTAAAGGGCGTCAAATGTTGACGCTTCTTGGGCCCAACTGGTGCTTTTTTGTACCGCCAACTATGCAGCGCTTAAAGCCTTCCGGCAATGTGATTTTAAGCCGTCAAACTTCGCCCATCAAAGTTGAGCGGCCTGGAACACTTTTCGGAGGCAACATGAATTCACTCAACCGGAACGACTAAGATCTTACGATTTCACCCACAACCACAACCACGACACACATACACACTCTCCTCGACGTCGTAGAGCCGGCAGAAGATGATCTCACCAATCTTGAAGCAGGGCTTGACGGTCAGTTGCCGTGGTAACGTCGGACAGACATGACGTCACGGTGGGTGCGTCCAAGAGTGACTTTTATGCGTGAAGACGTCTGCCACCTCACGCAACACAAGACAGAAACACAAACGCTTTGGGGACATGCCGAACGAACACACACACACATACACAGGTACAGATAGACAGACGGAATCAACGGTTATTTCCAGAGTAACGAAGCCTGTCCACGAGGCACTGTCTTAAAGTTGAGTGCAATTCTTCGAAACCCAGACTTTTGGCTCCTTCAGAGCCAGTCGTCGGGTTGAAGAAGACGGTTGTGCTGATGTTGGATGCAATTTGGGCGGCGTTTTCGACTAAAAAAAACCGAAAGTCATGGTTGGTTGAACAGGTTAGGACCACTTGCAATGGTACCCGACGAGACTGTCTCGAGGACGAAGTCAACACAAGGGTTACCGACAATCTGAAGGGCAGTCTGGTGGGAATGAACCACGCGAATCTCTTCAGCGGAGCATCATCATCAACATGCACACATACAAAAATGCACGTATGCATTGAAAGATAAAAAATTGACATTCGAGTACCCATAATTTCGTTTAAAGTGTCGCATGACAGCTTCAGGTGATACCAATTTACGAATCCGTTCTATTCGCCTCTTCATACGAAATGAAAATTACTCCAACATCAATCTATTTAAAGGATTCTTCAAAACCCAGTTTTTATACATATTTACGTAAGACAAAAAGATGTTTTTTTCTCTAAATAAATGAGATATAGCAATGAGATGGCGAAATTTCTCAACTCATCATAGTTGGATGTTGTCTTATGATGAATTCGGCCTAAGCGAATTCAAGTATCCACAATGAAATGTTGCGTTTCGACCAATCCCTTGGCTTAGAATTGTTGAGTTCACTTCCCTTTCGAGTGAAAGTGTGTGTTTTAGAGATTCAAAGGTCACACTCACCAGAAAACGACGGCGTCGGTGTCAATCAGAATGTTCCAGTTGGTGAAGAGGAATGCGTTTTCGTTTTTGGTGAGATTAAGC